ATTATGCAATAAACTATTTAAAAATATCAAATAATTACTTAAAATTAAAAAATCTGTTATAGCATTTGGTATTTAAATTTGGTATCTTCTGATAGTAATATGTATAGTACATTTACGCTGTAATTACTAACATACTCTAATTATTCTTTACGAGAATTAAATCATAGTATTCTAGTTGTGGGAGGGACATCTTTGTCTCCTGGCAATCAATAATTTTCGACCCAGTCCACCACTGCTCGTTATCATCGTCTTCATTGCACACCGTCTTTTTAGACGAAGTTGACTATTTCCCCTTCATGCTGGATGATTTTATATATGGCTGAGTTGAGCGATTCGGGAACGGCAAACATTTTCTGCAAGTTGGGCGTAAGAATGGACCTTACATGGCGCTAAAGGAAGGATCTGGCGTGTTTTCGATAACATCCCTGTGCTTGCTGGAGCAACCCGACTTCTTCGGTTTGACCAGCAGCAAGACAGACACGTCGCCAACTTGCCTGATCACGAGCCAACCTTTCCACCTCGTTTTCTAAGCACATACCACGGCTCAGGGACATTTGTGTTTGTCCTACATCCGACAGAGCCCCCCTTTTGGTGTATACTGCAACTGTGCTGAGCAGACCTTAGAGAACGCATTATCTATCATGATCAGCCTTTGAAAGAACGCCGAGAGGCTCAAAATCTCGGTCACGATGACTTGTCACGCCATGTTAGCACAATCATCTTTGGCTCCAAAGAGTTCCGTCTAGCCAATTTCACTCACATTTTAGGGCTTTCAGGCAATTTCCAAAGGTACAGAACAATGACGGATGGCATCAAGAAATCACATTCTTAACAAATCGACCGTGGTGAGATTCGAACATGAATCTTATACTCGGAAAGCCAACTCAAATCACGCACCTATATATGCGTATATGTATACAAGCCTTGATGATCCATATATGACATATGTCATGCAGAGATAAGCCGATTGCATTCCATGTGTGAATATATATATATGTGTGTGTGTGTGTGTGTGTGTGTGTGTTGTGTGTGTGAGAGAGTTCTATATGTTTAGATAAACATAAACTTATCTGCAAATGTCAGAGAATTGGCCAAAAGTCTCCATCACATATCTCACTGACGTCCATTAACATCCAAAAGAACTAGGTCAGAGTGTGCATAATCCTGATGTACTGTTCTATGGACGATGTTGACGGCTATATACGCTGAACACATTCGCACACATACACGTATATGTATATGCAGACACTCATACGCTAACTGCATTCGTTACATACACACACACACACACACACACACACATATCCATCCTTATATATATATATATATATATATATATATATATATATATATATATATATATATATATATTAGTTAAGATATTACTTTTCGAAAACTGACAGAAAGAACTTGCAAATTCCCGCTGCTGATATTAAACAATACATCAAATGTCAAAACCTTTTTTGTATCATGTTTGAGTTTTTTCTAAAAAAATTGTCGTATTTATACTTGCATCCAATGGCAAAAGTTGGTCGTAATTATTCTTCAGGAAGTTAGTAAAACAATGTCGTATTTATATTTAAGACTTTTTGTAAAGATTAGTCGTATTTATACATGTGTCAAATGTTAAAAAACTTTGCTGTGTTTATCTCGACACCAGTCATTTTCTTACCGACGTGACGTGTCTTTCCTCTGTCTTATCGACAAATATTTTCTTAGCCACTGCTCTGAAGAACTTTTTTCCCTGGCGGCCCGAATACATGAATTTAAGCGTGTTACTAATTTCGTAAAGATCATAAAGTCTAGGTTAAGAAATTCGGCATCTGAGAGGAATTTTGGAATCATACATGTTGCTATCCAAGGAATTGTTAGATGAATTGGATACAGACGCAATTATTTGCACAATCATCTTGTGAACACAAACGATTGCTCTTAATATAGTGAACTGCATGCAATGCTCACGTAGACTTTTGAACTATCTGTTAATGTGGAAATTGTGCAGTAAACATTTAAAAATATTAACCAATTACTTGAAATTAAAAAAATAAACAATTCAATTATAATATTCTGTATTTACATTTGCTGAACAGTATACGCAAATTTAAGAAATATACATTTTTTACGCAAAAATTTCAAATGTAATTTTTTATATGTATTATTTTAGAATTTTATTCATTCGTTATGAAAATTAAATGATAGTATTTTAGTTGTGGGTGGGCCCTCTTTGTCTCCTGGCAAAAACCTCATTCAGTAACCCTATTTACATTTGCTATCTACTGCCTGTAATATGGACAGTACACTAATTACAAAGAAATACATGTTTTTCACCAAAATTTTAATCGTACCCTTTCTTGTATACGTATTTTTTAAAAAAATCCTTTATTCGGTATGAAAATTTAATTTTCACGACCCCAGCATTTCGCTTCTTGACAACATTTGGGGTCGTAACCCATAGTTTAAGAAATGAACACAAACAATTGCTCTTAATATAGTAGACTGCATGCAATGCACCATTGTGTTTTTGAACTATCTGTTAATGCGTAAATTGTGCAACAACTATTTAAGTATATCAACCAATTGCTTAAAACTTAAAAATAAAACATTCTGTATTTACATTTGCTATCTACTTCTATTAAAGGAAACTTAAATAAATAAATAGTAAATAAAATATGAGGATATAGATGGAGAAGTTAGAAGTATATAGTTGAAGTTGACTTTAGACGGAACCGGAAATCCAATCCTAAACAAGAAACAAGGGATAAACCTCTACTCCTGTTCAAAAGACTGAGGAGGACTGTGAACCGTTTAATGTTTTATCGTTTATTCACAATGTTCGAAGAAGATTTTGAAAATAAATGACTATAAAGAAGTGTTGACGACCATAATGAAATAACTGAAGTGGTTTAAAAAAAAAAAAAAAAAAAAACGAAGAAAAAAAAGGGCGCCTAAAATATTTAGATTTCGGCATTAAATAACCCATGAAGATGTTGATGTGCCGCTAAATAAAATCAACCAAACCAAAATTTTATCAAAGATTTAGATTATTTTTGGTATAGATTATTTTTCTTTTCATACGGATTACCTTTAGGCAGAACCGAAATTTAATTTCAAAGAAGACATTTAAAATACCGTATCTATTCGTCTAACCTGCGATCTCGCGTATCGTGCGACCTCCAAATTTCACTTATAGAAAATGATTTTATCATCTATCTCGTGTATCAAGCGAGTTCCTCTTTGGAGAGCCCAAATTACAAAAGACTAACCTCTTTTCCTTTACCTCTTCATCCCATCTTCTAGTTAAATAAGTTAAAAATGTAAAAGAGAATGATAAAAATATCATTAGTAACACTATACTCGTTGCATAAACATGTACAGCTGTAAACAACCAAACAAGAACAGCTAAACATCTTATAAATGTAAACAATGGAAAAGATGCATATTTGCTATGTTTGTATTTTATAAATCAATACAAATATGTGAATATTACATGCATTATTATTGGATACAGTTAAATATCAGTTTTATCAAAATCATGTTTATTTTAAATACAGCTGTATTTTTTGACTCCAGTAAATGGATATATATTTTTTGGTCAACGGCGTAACCAGGGCCAGTAGTAAATACACTAATTTTATATGTCGTGTATAATGCGACCCTCTTAAAATTAGCTTCAAAATTATGTCTTCAAAAGTCGCATGATACGCCAGTTTATACGGTATTTTGAAAATTAAAGACCTTTTTCTAGCTCACTTTACATGAGGATACTTATTTGGCTTAGTCTTGTCTGGAATATGGACATAGTAAAAGATTGAATAGACTACAGTGGAAAGTTTCAGTTAATGACCATCGCACTAGATAGAAAGGCAACATTCTTTTTTTACTGCTTTTGTACTTGATGATAGTGAAAAGTTCTCGATCCGAGACTAAATGACCAAACATCAAAATTTAATTTTGGAACCCCTTTGCAGTTAGGCCGAGAAATCGCAGTGTACCTTGTATATTCTCTATATTGATATTTTGTAATACAATACTATGTAAATATTACACGCATTATTATTGGATATAGTTAAGTAAAACATCAGTTTTATCAAAATCCGTTTGTTTTAAATACAGCTGTATTTTTTGACGCCAGTAAATGGATATCTAGTTTGGTCAACGACGTAGCCAAGGCCAGCAGGACAGACGCTAATTTTAGATCTTGTGAAGAATTAGTTCTTCAAAAGTCGCATGATACGCGAGTATATAGTGTACCTACTAAAATTTGAGCATAGCTACAATTTACTTGCCGTTTATTTATTTATTAAAATTTTACTTGCGATCTCAGCGGAATATAAATCCCAACCGTGTTTGTTGCGTTCATTTCGAACGAATACCCCTTTGGAAAAGGTACGAATCCATCTTAACCCCTCAGTTATGGATTAAATAGCAAAACAGACTCAGCTCTGAAACTTTGGCAACAACTCGGAGAGAAATACAGCTGTGAATTTAAAAGCATGGCCAAAGCAACGGTAAAAACACTCCACTATATTTCCTCAAGATCAATCAGTGCAACGCATAATTTGCAAATATTAAAGGATAGTTTTGTGGAAAGCCGTGATCGCCCTTACCATGAAGTGACGTGGTTGAAAAAATAAGACGTTGAAAACTACACAGATGAACGGACAAAAAGATCACAATTTCTGGTTTGTAAATATTGTGTGTGTGTTTCAAAGTATCGCCGTATCGGCGTGTACGGAGAGAGGCGTGATCGTGTGGCTTAGGTAACTTGGCCCCATACCATTCACCCTTCCTGCACGTGGCGCCCCCACTACGAGCACTCCGTGGGGAGATATCTTTTTTACTTGCATCCGTGATCAGTTGGACCAGCTGCCAGCGGACTTAACGCAGCTGTCTGCATCCCAGTGGAGACGATAGGGGGATGCTGTGATGTGGAAAGTAAAAACTTGTCAGATTTTTTTTTTCTTAAGAAAAAAAAAACAAAAAAAAAAAAAACAGAGAAACTAAAAAGTAGCTGAAAGTGAATGATTTCCAGGGCTACGCGACCAATAGAAGAAGAAGAAGAAGAAGAAGAAGAAGAAGAAGAAGAAGAAATACTTCATCAAACTTATACTTATTCTATACTCAATAAAATCTTTCTTCAAGAAAGAAATTCGTGTGTTGAGAAGAAGCTGCAATTACGATGGTTTTCCCAGTTAAGTTATCGAAAGAGAAAAAGAGTTAAATAAAACAAGGACTCAAGAGGGACGGTATTTCCCGGTTTGTAGGTTGACTTTGAGTTCCTACTCAAAGTCAACCTAAAACCCAGGCAAACACAAGGAAGGCGTGAAGTGGGGGGGGGGAGTCAATCGGGGAGTGAGAGAGAAAAAGAGGGTGGGGTGAGGAAAGAATTCCTTTGGTTCAACAGTGATTATTTATAGACCGCGGGACCGCATCGGATGTCTGGAGTCAAAGAGAGTGGATCACCATGGAATCGACACTCATCTTGAACCGATACAAATAAAACCTAACAACATCCACATTCAAAAATACCTGACGAGACATGCGCGTATGATCCAACCAGCTTAATAACACAGCTATTCTCACCAGGCGCGAATTTATACACATAAAATGGCGTCGTCCAATTCAGAGCATTGCGCTAACAGGAATTACAATATCAGGCGTATAAATGTACACTCAGAGAATAACACATATTGATATATATTTAATCACGCACATATACAAAGAAAAAAATATACAGATGATAGCAATTATCGCTAAGTAAATATTGTAAGACAAGGCTATGTCTTCTCACCGGACGTATTCATTGCATACAATGAGGCGATTCAGATAGAATTAGAAGTACTACAGGATTCATCATTGGCGACCACAATCTTAACAATATAAGATATGGAGATGACAAAGTGTTGATAGCAGACACGGAAAGGAAGCTAAAAGAACTCCTCCAGAAGGTACAGAAAAAAAAGAGAGAAGAAAGGACTACACAACAATTTCTAGAAGACAGAATGTAGGGCTTTTAGCAAAAAAAAAAAAAAAAAGAAAAGAAAAAAAAACAACAGCAAAAAAAAGTGGACCACCTATCATTTTGAGTTCGGAATCAGGTTCCGAAAAAATCGATAATCGAAAAAATCGATAATCGAAAAAAATCTGCTTACAGAAGGAATGATCGCATTTCAACCAAATTTGACACCCTCTTAGAGTCTACCATTAGAAGTGTTGTCCAGAAGTTTCATGACCACGGGCCCCTAAACAACGCGGAAAATCGATAAAACCCAAAAACCGATACGCCCAGATTGCGTCTGAACCGCATGTCGGTTTTTAGCGAAAACCGAGCGGATTTATGAAGTGGCCATTGGGAATCATCACGTGAAGTTTCAACTCTGAGCACCCCCACCAAACAAATCGACAATCGCCCAACCCTTAAAAATGTTTTTTTCGGTTTTTAAAGCTGATCGTATTGTGTTTATTTTGTTTAGTTCTTTTTTCGTAACAGATTTAATGTTTACTATAGAGCTTAGAAAAAGTTGGCAGTGTGATATAGGCAAGAAGTAAGGCATGTAACAACATCAGCACGGCAAAGGGCACTCCTCGAAAGGCAAGGAACGGCAAAAATATTTTAAGTCAAGTGATAGCGATTGCTGTATTAGTCGTACTATTTTTGAATCAAGCACGGGCAACGCCGGGCCATGCTGCTAGTATATATATATATATAATCTTAATGATTTTTTTTAGTAGTTGTGAAAACTTTTATATCTGGTTAACAAAAACTGATATATCATTTCTTATATTGATTAGCTCTGTTACTTTACATTCAACACTGATTTTTCTAATACTATAGAGTATTTATATGCATTTCTATACGATAGATCACTCGTATACCTACTTATATTGAGCCATTCAGCAAATAAGGTCTACTCAACATAGCTGCAGTACAAACCACAGGTGGTTATCTGAGGGTATTGAATAAATACAAATGCACCTGAGCAATATATATATATATATATATATATATATATATATATATATATATATATATATATATATATATATATATTGTGTATATTTAGGCAGCAATTTTTCATTAATGCATGTTTCATTAAATATTCTTAAATGCCTATAATTGATAACAGAAGCCATTGGTTTATACCAACGGCTTCCCATACTTAATACTTCTCGTTTTCACTCTCGCGTTTGTCATTACTTTGAAATTTTTCATGCAACAAAAACAGACTATCATTATTGTTTCGTCCGTGTATTGGTTGATATATTGAAATGTAATTGTCATTTTTGATCATGGCTTATGTAAGTCGAAAGTTTAGATTGGATTTAAACATGTATCAATATGGTGATTTCCTTTCGTCTTTCAATGATAATGTTATTAAGCTTATCAGACAATATGAAAGGAACTTACTTAAAATAAATAGACAAAACTTGTCTATATTATTTAATGAAACATGCATTAATATATATATATATATATATATATATATATATATATATATATATATATAGGGTAGTAAAAATATTTAACACATGGTTTTTTTTATAAATTTTACAATAAAAATTGTTCAATTTGTATGATACTTCAAACATTGTCTAACTAAACATAAAGGAAAATTGAGAAACATTGTTTTTCATGTATTAAAGATGAACTTGTCTACGTCTGTGAACAAAGACTTTAAATAGTGACATGTCAGTTGACATGGGAGGAGGACAGATAGATAGAGAAGTTCTTAGCTGAGCTAGTTATTGACTACTCAGGCGATGTAACAAATCTATTCATATCTATCTATCGGCCTGTTCATTTCTAGCTACTAATAAATATATACGTCTCTGCTGTAACGTCCATATCCCCATACTGATGATGTGAGCCGAAAAATAAGTTCAGCACAACACATACATACATGGAAAAAAAAAAGATAATTGCTTATGAAATGCGAAAAAACTAAAATAAAAAAAGCCGATCACGTCGGCGAAACGAGTCGTTTAAAGCTTTTTTATCATCTGCACTCAATTCGATATATTGGTTTCTATATGTGTGTTTAAGTTAAGGGCCTTGACCAAAATACATTTGAATTCAGCATCGTTAACAAACAGAATGCGATAGAATATTTTTCGTAAACACGTCACTAAAACTTCGATACAACTGTTTCCATCGATACAAATGTTTCCATCGATGTGGTAATTCGAAGAAGACGAGGGAAACTAGGTGCGAGACTGAGTAATTTTCAGAGGCACATTTCCTAGGTTTTCGCTAGATCGTCGTATACAGCTATGCAAGTTCATATATATATATATATATATATATATATATATATATATATATATATATATATATATATATATATATATGCCAACGGCTTCCCATACTTAATACTTCTCGATTTCACTCTCGCGTGCTCATGTGTGACATCATGAGCTGCGGTGCGATTTTCGCTTCCAGCGTCTTATATGCACGAATTTGTCGTTGCTTGGAAACCATCCATGTAAACAATAACAGACTATCATCACTTTCTTGTCCGTGTATTGCTTAATATATTGTAATGTAATTATCATCTTCGATAATGGCTTATGTAAGCCGAAAGCTTAGATTGGATTAAAAAATATGTATCAATATTGTGATTTTCTTTCTTCGTTTAATGATAATGTTATTAAGCTTATCAGACGTTATGAAAAAAATTTACATAAAATAAATAGACAACATCTGTCTATATTATTTAATGAAACATGTATGAATAATATATATATATATATATATATATATATATATATATATATATATATATATATGGGATTGAATAGATACATTTACACGAAAATACATTTACACGTGAAAATGTTTACGTGTATATAAATATTCATACGAAGCTTTTGATATTACCTCCATATATATATATATATATATATATATATATATAAAAATATATATATATATATATGTGTGTGTGTGTGTGTGTGTGTGTGTGTGTGTGTGTGTGTATTAGAACGGAACAATGAAAAGAGGCATTTTTGGTAGAGGGGCGCTTATAGTCGACATAATGGAGCTGTTTGTCCGACACCTTGGCACACACATCATTCATTTCAGCCATTCCAATTCTTCAGAGGTGGGGTGAGAAATCAGAGAACAACAGAGAAAAAAAAAAAAAAAAGAGACATGATGGGGGGTTTGGAAATACGAGGAAGAATGTTATACATTAAAATATGAGTCATTTGCGTAAAAAAAGCATTCGCAAACATTTATATCCATCTCTCTCTATCTATCTATCTATCTATCTATCTATCTATCTATATATATATATATATATATATATATATATATATGTATATATATTTATTTATATATATATATATATATATATATATATATATATATATATATATATATATATAATCATTATGGTGATATCTATCTATCTATCTACCTATCAGGGTTAGAGAGATATAAACAGACTGACAGATCGTAAGATATGAAGAGAATAAAATAGATAGATATATAGAAAGATATGATCAGAATTAGATAGATAAATAGATAGATATATAGGAACAGACTGAGATAGATAGATAGATAGATAGATAGATAGATAGATAGATAGATAGATAGGCAAAGAATGAGATAGATAGATAGATAGATAGATAGATAGATAGATAGATAGATAGATACATAGATAGATAGATAGATAGGAAAAGAATGGTATAGATAGATAGATAGATAGATAGATAGATAGATAGATAGATAGATAGACTGCGATATGAGCAAACCCAAATAGATAGGTATATCGGTTCAAACAGTCTGATCTATCTGTCTCAGTCTGTTTCTATCTATCTATCTATCTATTCTATTCATCATCTATCTATTCTATCTATCTATCTATCCTATTTTTTTCCTATCTATCTATTTATCTATATACGTATGTTCATTATCTCTCTCTCTCTCTCTCTCTCTCTCTCTCTCTATATATATATATATATATATATATATATATATATATATATATATATATACCTATCGCAGTCTGTTCATAATTATCGAAGTTTTCTGCAATTTGTTCATATCTATCTACGTTTGTTTCGAATTACTGATGAAGAAACGAGCACGTAATACTGCTAGATTGCAACAAATGACCTCATACTCAAATCAACAAGTGAACAAGTCTCAAAAGACATCATATATCGACAGTAGTCACATTCCATATTAAGACACTGTGTCTCCATTATTCTGTGTCTCTTACACCTTTTGATGCACCAGAACGAGACTTCTAGGTGGGCTATTTGAATGAGTCAGACGTTGTCCCATCACAACTCCTACATTTTTCATGTGAAACCTCTCTTGTGTTTGTATCTGGTTGCAGAATTCGTGTCACAACGGAATGAAGAATATTCTAGAGTTACATGATGCTGTTTAACCTTCCCTCCTCAAATAGGAAAGACGACCGCGATTTGGTTGGATGTTTTTGTTTAGCGGCATATCAACATCCCTGTGAGTCATTTCATGCCGAAATGTAAATATTGTGTACGGAATTTTATTTATTTATTTATTTTTGGACACAATAATGCTTTTGGTGATAAAAGTCTTACTAATTAACCCACATCTATCGGGAGAAGAGGTGGATTCATACCTTTCCCAAGGTGCGTAATTGAATATAACGCTCTCAACTGGAATTTGAACTCGGCTCTCCAATTAACAGTTCCTAGACATTATCTATGAAACCATCCGCACATTCCAGATTACAGCACCTTCTTGAATTCCGTTCATCTTTTGTTCTTTCCTCAATCCTCCCTATACTCAGTCTTTTCTCTCACTTTCACTCCCTGTAAACCCCTGCGTACTAGAGACATTCCCGCCTTGCTTGGGGTGAAATGATTCACAAAATTTAAATGCAACCTCAATTGCCATCTTCTATCTTCTTGAATCCCGTTCATCTTTTGTCCTTTCCTCAGTCCTCCCTATATTCACTCTTTTCTCTCATTTTCACTCCCTGTAAACCCCTGCGTAATAGTGGCATTCTCGCCTTGCTTGGGGTGAAATTGTTAAAGAAACAAAATATAATAAAGTTATTTATACGAAACTGAGATACGAAACTGGGCAGTTATGAAGATGTGCCTTGATTTCTTTCACTTTTGCTAATTTCTCATTATGTTTGACTGTTTAAGATGTGTTTTTAACCCCCCCCCCAATCGAAAATGGTTATAGCAGTGCTCAAAAGCGCCTGGGAGAATCCACTATACGGAAAAGACCTTGCACTCCCTTACACGCATCAAACGAAAAATGTAAGAATGCTGGAAAAATAATTGAAACATTAATTCAATTTTCCCTGTTATGTCATATTCAACGAAACATATTTAAAAGAATGGTTTTAGCCCCCAAATACGTTGGGATAGATAGATAGATAGATAGATAGATAGATAGATAGATAGATATGAACAGGATTAGATAGATAGATAGATAGATAGATAGATAGATAGATAGATAGATAGATAGATAGATAGATAGATAGATATGAACAGGATTCGATAGATAGATAATGAACTGATATAATAGATATGAACAGACTTTGATAGATAGCTAGCTAGCTAGCTAGATAGATAGATAGATAGATAGATAGATAGATAATGACCTGATAGATAGATTGATATTCACAGACAGTGATAGATAGATAATTAATGAACTGATAGATAAATTGATATGAACAGACCGTGGTAGATAGATAGATAGATAGATAGATAGATAGATAGATAGATAGATAGATAGATAGATAGATAGATTTGAACAGACCGTGATAGATAGATAGATAGATAGATAGATAGATAGATAGATAGATAGATAGATATGAACTGATTGAGATAGATAGATAGATAGATAGATAGATAGATATGAACTGATTGAGATAGATAGATAGATAGATAGAGAGATAGATAGATAGATAGATAGATATGAACAGAGTGTGATAGATAGATAGATAGATAGATAGATAGATAGATAGATAGATAGATAGATAGATAGATATGAACAGAGTGTGATAGATAGATAGATAGATAGATAGATAGATAGATAGATAGATCGTTCAAAGTTATATGAATATTTAGTATTTTACTGTTTTCTGATTCATGGCACAGATATTGTCAGTAAAAATCATGATATGAATTATTGCCATAAAGCTAATGCAACAGTTGATGATGATGATAATGGCGATGATAATCATCATAATGTCTACTGTTGTTACTAGACATAGGAGAAAGCCTTTTTCTCAGGCAGAAATCGTAAAATTATGATGCCTTCGTGACAAAACTTCCGATCGGCCTTAAATTTCGCCAGTCTTTGCTACTTCTCCTTCAGCCACTTCTTGACGACTTCCCTCTTTTCTTCCGCTCTCCCCCCCCTCTTTTCCCCCATTTTTACCGGTAAGTGCCTGGATTTTCGGATTAACATGACTGATTTTTCAAGTTTTACTCTTGTCAGATAAGCGCTGTCACGGGAAAAAATGGATTAACAAATGGGACTGCTATGTAAGAGTTACTTCCCCTTTTTCTTGTCAATTTTCCTCCATTTTGCACGTTTTCTCTCTCTGTCTCTTTCCGTCTCTCTCTGTTTTTAACGATCGGAAGCTCCTATTTGAGATAATAATGATGGAAGCGAAGATAGATATAATTGCAGGGTCTTTTTGCATCAACCACACGAATAAATATCAAAAGGAAATAAGCGAGGGAAATGGAGGCAAAGTTTGAAGAAGGAGATATAAAAGGAGAATATAAATGAATAATTTTCGGATAAAAAAATAAATAATACATGAAATGATTTATTTAAAGTTTGCAAGTCAAATATTAAAAAAGAATGAAAGCAAGTAATTTTTTTTCAAAAGGTAGAAACGGTGAAAAAGTTTAATTTGATATAAAGAGAATTTGAAAAGAAGTGTGGAAAGCAAAAGAATAAATGTGAATAGAAAGAAAGAAAGAAAGAACGAATGACAGACAGACAGAAAGACCGCTGTGGAAATAAGAGAGAAAATCCACGATCAAAAAAAAGAAAGAAAGAAATTGAATGCAGGGAAAGAAAGAGACAGATAAATAGAAAGAAAGAAAGAAAGAAAGAAGACAGACAGACAGACAGACAGACCACTGTGGAAATAAAGGAAAAAAATTACGATTAAAAGAAAGAAAGAAAGAAAGAAAGAAAGAAAGAAAGAAAGAAAGAACGAAAGAAAGAAAAGATGACAGACAGACAGATCGACCGCTGTAGAAGTAAGAGAGAAAATCTACGATTAAAAAAAAGAAAGAAAGAAATTGAATGCAGCGAAAGAAAGAGACAGATAAATAGAAAGAAAGAAAGAAAGAAAGAAAGAAAGAAAGAAAGAAAGACAGACAGACAGACAGATAGACCGCTGTGTAAATAAGTGAGAAAATCCATGATTAAAAGAAAGAAAGAAAGAATGATAGACAGATAGTTACACATACACACCGCTGTGAAAATAAGGGAAAAATCCACGACTGAAAGAAAGAAAGAATGAAAGAGAGAAAGAAAAAGACTGAATAAAAAGAAAAATTAATTGAGAAATAGAAAAAAGAAAGAAAGAAAATAAAATGATTAAAAAGAAAGAAAGAGACTGAACGGAAAGGAATGAAGGAAGAGACTGAATAAAAAAAAACGTTTAAATAAAAGGAAAGAAAGAAAGTGATGAGTAGAAAGAGAGAAAGAAAGAGAAAGAAAGAGAAAGACTGATAAATGGAAAGAGAACGAGAAAGAAATCAAAAGAATAGAAAATGAAGAAAAAGAAAAAGAGACTAGAATTATAGAAAGATAGAATGAATGAAAATGAATAAAAATGAAACAATGGTAATATGAAAGAAAGAAAGAAAGAAAGAAAGAAAAAAGAGAAAGAAAGAAAAGAGAAAGAAAGAAAAGAGAAAGAAAGAACTAAAGAATAAGAAACAGCGATAAAAATAAGTTTAAAAGTCACAAATAGAAAGTACATGGGAAAATAAAAGACTTGATAAATGGAAAGAAAGAAAGAAAGAAAGAAAGAATGAAAAAAGAAAGAAAGAAAGAATGAATGAATGAAAAAAAGAAAGAAAGAAAGAAAGAAAGAATGAATGAAAGAAAGAAAGAAAGAAAGAAAGAAAGATTGAATGAAAAAAAGAAAGAAAGAATGAATGAAAAAAGAAAGAAAGAAAGAATGAATGAAAAAAAGAAAGAAAGAAAGAAAGAATGAATGAAAAAAAGAAAGAAAGAAAGAAAGAAAGAAAGAATGAAAGATAAAAAGAAAGAAAGAATGGAAGCAAGAAAGATAGAAAGAAAGAAAGAAGGAAAAATAAAGAGAAGGAAGCAATGAAAGAAAAAATAAAAGAACGAATGAAAGGAAGAATGAAAGAAAAAATGAAAGAAAGAAAGAATAAAAGAAAGAAAGGTAAAAAGAAAGAACGAATGAAAAATAAAAAGAAAGAAAAAATGAAAGAAAAAATAGAATGAAAGAAAAAATGAAAGAAAAAATGAGAGAAAGAAAGGTAAAAAGAACGAATGAAAATTAAAAAGTAAGAAAGAATGAAAGAAAAAATAAAAGAAAGAATGAAAAAAGAACGGAAGAATGAACGAAAAAATGAAAGAAAGAAAGAAAGAAAGGAAGAAAGAATGAATGAAAGAAATGAAAAATGAAAGAAAGAAAGAAAGAAAGAGAGAGAGAGAGAAGAATATCGCTAAACAGAGAAAATGAGAAAAACCTAAAGAGAAATGGATAAATATCAAAAGAAAGAAACAATGAATAACTGGATAAATAGTAAAAAGAAAAAGAGCGATAAATAGAAAGAAAGAAATGAGTTAATTGCAATAAAAAAAAAACGAATGAAAAAAAAGAAAGAAAAATAAATAGAAAAAGAAAAAAAATATAGAAGAAGATGACAAACAAGAAAGCCGATAAATACAATTGATCTGATCGTAATCACTGTCCAGATCTATATCGGAAAGTATTACTTTCTAACCAACCAGTGTATGTGGTTCAACCCTAGATAAAATCAAACATTTCTAATGTTGATTTTCTAGGTAGGCGAACTCATATTACTTGTGAGGATTCTTCATCCAGTCCTATTGTATCTCATAAATCGGAACGTCATGAATTATCGTTATAATCAGAAATGTCAGAAAGGAAACATTAAGTAGAAAAAGCAGGCAATAAGCATTGCAATAAAGAAACCATATAATAATTATCAATATGTATTTCTTTATATATTTCCTGTCCCATCTGTAGTGCAAAGGGAGGTAAATCATCTTAAGTTAGTAAATTTAGGAATGATTATTTCTCATAGACCTTTTAATAAACTATACAAATAAAATATTTATCTGCATTTAGACAAAATTACTTCCCGAGAAACATTAACCGTTTAATCAATCACTACCTTTACTCCTACGCTTCTCAGATTGCAGTCTTATTTGTTCAAGACTTTTATGTGAGGCACTCAGATAGCTGTTTCTATTAAGTCATCGTCCTGCTTCAACTTGGTCTTGAAATAGGCTCTGTCGTCGTATTTGTCGTTCTGTTTTTAATCTTTTTTTTTCTTCCGAGATATATTTCCATTTTACTGTTAAACACATTTTTGACATGAAATGAAATTGAGTAAAAATCTATTTATAAAAGACCAGGGATAATCAGGGGTTGGCTACTCTTTGCTAACTATGTCTCAACTTAGGGTTTTAAAATCATTTAGTGCACCAACAGCATACCTATTTTTATACAAGTCAAAGTCAATATACCTGTTCTACGATATATTTCATATAGTAATATATCTCTATCTATAAAAGGCAGGATGTGTGTGTGTGTGTAACGAATGCACGGCCGCAATTTTCGACGGATTTGCACCAAAATTTACATGCACATGCTCCAAGTTAGCGGGAAAGGCCTAGACCGACTTTGCATTTCCCAACTCCCATCGATAGTGGAAATAATCAATTTTTTCATGCTTCTACGGCAATTTTCATGTAGTTTGCGGCCATTTTCTACTGGCCAGAGTGAGAGCCAATAGCTGGCTGCCACGAATAGGTAGGATGATTCTATTGGCCAGCGTGAGAGCCAACAGTTGACTGACACGAATGTTAACTAGCATGCTAGCATGCAAAAAAAAAAATCGATAGCTGCATTCGTCACAATTGGGAAAAATTTAAATCTGCATGACACTTTACTCCAATTGTCTCATTCGCTTGCTTAAACTCAACGTTGATTCTGATTCCGAAGAACTGGGTTGGGTGTGAAAAAGTATTTGTTGTTAACATTCTTTTTTCATTCGGTTTTTCCAGTTACGACTCCTTTTTTTTTAAAGCTGATCGTTTTGTGTTCATTTTGTTTAGTTCTTTTTTCGTAACAGATTTAATCTTTAGTATAGAGCTTAGAAAAAATTCACAATGTGAGATAAGCAAGAAGTAAGACATGTAGCAACATCAGCACGGCAAAGGGCACTCCTTTAAAGGCAAGGAAGGGCAAAAATATTTTAAGTTAAGTGATAGCGATTGCTGTATGAGTCGTACGATTTTTGAATCAAGCACGGGCAACGCCGGGCCATGCTGCTAGTAGTATATATACTTAGGTATATATTAACATTGAAACAGCACAATGTCTTCTTTGCGTTGTCGTAGCCATTGGTTTGGACTTCGTGATGTCATTTGAGGCTGCGTGCCATTTGAAATTGCTTGGCGTGCCACGTATGGCACGCTTGTTGTAGGTTGTCGGCCCCTGTTTTATACTTCCACCACGTGAATGACAGCTCATTTTTTTGAATAATAAAAATCATATGTCAGAGTGGGCCCATCAGGAATTTAGAGATTCTTAGGTGAGACATGCGCAAAATATGGTTGGGGACCACTCGTCTAGTCATTGTTTGAGAAACTAATGAATATATTTATGTACCTATAGAAGTAACATTCACGTTATACCACGAAGGCATCATACGTGTACACGCTAAACTTTTATCGTTGTTTTATCTATATCTATCTATATCTACATTAGAAAGAGAAAAAAGAAATGACCTATCAGGGCCTGTTGACAAAGTAATATGGTGTTGTCAGTAGACATCAGATTTCAACTCTTAATATCAGGGATCTTTTGACCTGAAGCTATTAAATATTCATTGAATTTTTTCATATCACGCATGCGCAAAAAAAAAAAAAAGTACGTCTGCTTCCGACCAATTGCTTGGCATTTTTCTGACCTGCTTTATTTAGTTTTATACATAAACCCGTCCATTCTTGCGCGCTCATTTCATTCTATAATTCTAAACGTTTCTCGATTATCCGAACTTATAATAGAACATATCATGTTTAATAGACTGGTTCTCTTACGATCACCAAAGTTAAGCAACGTTGAGCCTGTTCAGTATCTCGACGGTGGGCCACTTAGGAATACCCAGTGCCATAAGCTTAAAATATTGGTGGCCAAGTGGGCAGTTCAGATAAGATAAAAAAGGAAACCTCAGATGTCAAACTTCATCTGCCTGTTCAGAGATTCACATAGCTTCCCTGTGCCTTTTCTTTAAGAACATTTACCATGAAAGTATTTAAAGAAAAGGCACAGGGAAGCTATGTGATGGTAATGGGGGAAGGGACTGAAACCGAGATGCCAGGTCATGGCCAATAACATTGCAGATTCTTCTTTATATTTTATCAAGAATCTCTAAATATATAGCAGGAGCACTAGATCAAATTTTAATAGTAGAAGTACAAGACAGTGTTAAAATTTTATGCACATTTTCTTCCAATGTGGATGTTGGAGTAGAATCATGTCTATGGGTATCAACCACAAATCTCATACTCATCAGCTTGGAATGACATTTTCTGATGGTTTTGGCATCTACTGAAGCAGGATCTTCATGAAAACATTGCACCACCATCACTGCACTTGTACCATGAACTGCCATACATTGCAACAAGATGTTAGCTGAGTATGCGTATGCAGTGTCAAGTGTTGTACAATTCTGGACTACACTTGGCATTCTGAAATAAAAAAGGAAATTAAAAATTAAATTCTACCACTTTAGGGATCATAATATATATTGTTTCATGCAGATGTGGTGATATTAACAAAAGTTATAAGTAATTTTTAATAGGGTGTTTCTTTCCACCAACCACAAGAAACCTCAATAAAGAAAATGCGCTCTCCGGAAGGACGCTCTACGTAGCCGAGTGGCAAAGCACACCGGATCAAACGATGGTTTCTCCCACAAAGCGGGTCTCAGGTTCGATCACTGCTGGAGAGTACTTTTTTTTTATTGAGATTTCTCGAGTGTGCAGGCCGATAGACGTAATGCACACTGCTTAAAAATAAACATGAGCTATTTCAAATACAAGTATCTACTAATAAAACTGCTGAAGTTTATATATATATATATATATATATATATATATATATATATATATATATATATACACAAATATACAAATAAAAGAAACAAGGTTGGAGTAAAAATCTACAGCTCGTAGCATTTACTTTTATGAAAAGTGTTTAATACAACGTAGACCAAAATATTATTATAATATATTTATTATAATAGATTTTTAAAAAAATTTACATCCCTACACAAAAGATTTTATGCTTCAATACTACGATTATACTTCCTCAGTCTATGGTACCATACTATGATTGTATCATATTATGATTGGACTATGATTCCTCAGGCGATGGTACCATAGTATGATTGTACCATCGCCTGAGGGAGATAATCATAGCATTGAATCATGAAAGCTTTTGCGTAACGAAATAAAATGGTTTTATTATAATCTATAAAAATATTATAATATATATATATATATATATATATATATATATATATATATATATATATATATATATATATATATATATAAGGAAGAGGTTTCAGTAGTTACAACGAGAGAAAAGTGTGTATATTAAAAAGAAGAGAGAAACTTCAAACGTTTTTGGTTGTAATGTGGATTTTTTTTAAAAATATCCTTTATTTTCCATAATTTTGCTACACGGGGTTCCGGTCTCTAGACCGTCATCAGTCAAAGGGTGGCGATTTCCACATATTATTAAAATAATAAATTATTATAAATTAATAATTCATTTTTTCTTATGTTTTTCGATGTTAAATATTCTCGATATGAGACATTCTCTTTTTCGTATGTTGGTGACCCAAATGTCCTTCTTGAACTGGCAGTGAAAAGTTCTGCGTGAAGGGTTATAAAACAATTAAGATTGGTCCGACACATGGTGAAGTAGTTATCGGCATTCTTATTTTTTAATGACCCCTGTGTTTTCTTAGATCTATTTCCATTTTCGTGTGTTTATGTCAGCATGCGTGTATATATGTGTATATTCCCTCTCCATACATACACACTGTCTCATTACGAGGAAGTAGAAAACACATTTTACATATACACACACATATACACACACAAACAAACACACCGTCCTATTACAAGGAATCAGTACATACACACACATACGTATATATATATATATATATATATATATATATATATATATATATATATATATATATATATTTATATATATATATATATATATATATACGAACTGACACACTTTATAATGGGATGCTAGCTGAGTATGCCTATTAAATTCTACCACTTTTCTAATATACTGATCTGTTAGATTGGTTTGTTTTGTTTTGTTTTGTTTTACGGCTTATCAACCTCAATGGTTATTTGATGCCGACAACATTTTTAGGAT